TTGTTAATGAGTATCATTTCTATTTTGTTTTGTTGTGTTGTTCATCCTATATTGGTAATGCCCGGATGAGAAAGAGAAACAGGAAGGGTTGTTGGTCAGGGCGTTACGCATTGGTATCAGAGCTAACCAAGTTGAATACCTGGAGCTCGTGGGAAGTGGCTTTACTGTATAGGGCTATTATGTTAGAAAGGGATGTTAGTTTGTCTTATTTGTCTTACCTGTTTGTGTGATAATGTAGGTATGGAGTTAATCTCTTAGGATGTGATTAGTGCCTATTGCAATCATCGAAATTCTTTTGGAAAGGCACCTGATCAATGCTTTTTCCACTAGGAGGTCCTTGAGTGCCATGGGACTAGTCGGAATTTTGAGGGAGTAACTCGTATGTGTTCCATGTGTTTATATGACTATGTGGTGTGCCTTATGTAACAGATATCTGCATAGGTGTGTGTCTAACTCGTGGGTGACGTGTATAGTGTATGAATTGTGAGTTAAATCCTTTCTCCTTTATCTCTGTATAGGATGTTTGGACACGATAAAGGTCATGACAGGCCACACCGAGGTAGCCAGGATATGCCGGCTCAGCAAGATTTACCTCCCCAAAAAGAAGGGATAGGGCAAAACGATATGACCATCCCTCCGGCCCAAGATGCAATGGAGGTATTAGCCCGAGAGATGGAAAGGGCTCTTCGAGAGTCCATGGAAATACTCTGAGCCGAGCAAGCAACGAGGACAATAAAGGAGGAGACTCGAACCTCTTTCTTGAAGAAGGAATTCTTCCATTCGAACCCTGCAGAGTTCAGTGGTGGGCCTGATCCAATGAAGGCGGATGAATGGCAAGAGCACATTATTAAGTCTTTTGAGATTCTAGACATTCGCGATGGAGAACTCCCAATAGCATTGGCAGCCTACCAACTAAAAAATGAGGTGAGCCAATGGTAGAAGTCCGTTAAGCATGGAATAGAGCATGCTTGGGAGGCATTCACCTATGCCTTCCAAGAGAAGTTTTTGCCTCCTACGGCTAGAGAGGTTAAGAAAGCAATTTCAGGAACTTCGGCAGTTGGACACCCCAATGATGGAATTCGAGGCCACATTTACTAATCTAGCAGGTTTTGCACCCGAGCTTGTGGCAACTGAGGAGCATCGGTGTTTGGAATTTGAGAAGACATTGAGGCCTAAAATTCTAATGAAGGTGATGGGTAATATGTATCGGGAGTATGATAGACTAGTGGAGGCCGCTACCCATGTAGAGATTATGTTAGAGGCTGAGGAAGCTAGGCAGAGACATAAGAGGCTGAGTTATGCTGAATCTAAGGGTGATACCGGATCTTCCAAGAAATCTAGGGGCTTATCTTCATCTTCCTTCCAATCTACGCCCCAGCAATCCAAGTCATCGGGGTTCGGTTATGTGAGAAGTTCTAGAAGCACAGGTCCTATCAATGTTACTTGTTTCTGATGTAGCCAGAAAGGACACATAGCAATAGAGTGCAAGCAAAATCCTAGTCATCAACAACCAACACGTTCTCAAAGCCAAGCCTAGGGAAAGGACCAATTGCCTACATGTTACCATTGTAAGCAATCAGGACACATGAAGGGGTCTTGCGCATAGCTAGTCGGAATGGGAAGCGCTTCTAGATCTCGAAATTTTGGGAGTTATCAGGTAGGCCAAGGTTAGCAACAGAATTATCAATCAGTTCAGTCTAGGCAGTCAGCAAGGGCAATACAGGGGGCCACATCAGCACAGTCAACACAACCGGTTAACGTTTTGAGAGCAGGTAGAGGTGAGCAGAGGCCCCAAGGGCGAGTTTATGCAATCACTGCTTCTGAACAATCATCTGGACCATCAGTGATAAAAGGTACTTATCTTAACTATAACACTTGGGCCAATGAATTGATAGACACGGGAACATCTCATTCATTTATCGTATCAACATTTGCATCCATGTTAGGCCTAGCGGTAGAACAACTAGAGTCTTCGCTTATGGTTGAGTCACCAATCAGGGGTCAAGTTGCCTTCAATTGAGGGTGTCGTGGGCCCTTTTAATTTGGTGATATTGGAAATGTCGGAGTTTGATGTTATTCTTGGTATGGACTGGTCGTCATCTTATCGGGTCGTCATAAATTGCTATCGCAGAAGGGTTACGGTATGCACCTTTGGCGGGGATTGTTTTTATTTTCTGGAGGATAGAGTTGACAAAGGATTGTCACTGTTGTGTGACCCACGAAGTCAAGGCAAACTTAGTTTTCTTCTTGATGAGGATAGTGCAATTTGGGGGATATTTCCTAAAGTGGTTTGTGAGTATCCAGATGTTTTTCTTGAGGATCTCACTGAGTTACCACCCCATCGTGAGGTAGAATTCTCTATAGATTTGGTGCCTGGTACGATGCCCATCTCCATGTCGATAGAGGGTGTTGTTTGGGCCCATGAGGTCCATCACGGGTCCCGTTTCGAAGATCCGAACCATTTATTTTATCGGGCACTTCGTGTATTTTATCCGCACAAAAAATTAGGTCGATCTCATAATTATAACTTATTCAATTTATTACGTTTTTCACTAAAAAAATGTATAATTTATTTTAAAGAACACAATTGTTGTCTATTTTTTTAGTGAAAAATTAAACAAATTACAGTTATGCAATTGATCTATTTTTTTATTTTATTTTATTTTATTACGTTTCTGACTGGAAAAATGTATAATTTATTTTTAAAAACACAATTGTTGTCTATTTTTTTTAGTGAAAAATTAAACAAATTACAGTTATGCGATTGACCTATTTTTTTATTTTATTTTTTTATTTTTGGATGAAATAAACGAAGTGCCCGACAAAATGAACTTTTCAAATCATCAATATGAGACCCGTGGTGGGCCTCACGGGCTCAAACAGCACACTCTAATTCAAAATTTAGACTGAAGGTGATCCTCTTCCTTCTCAATAAAGGTTGTTTTTTTGGGTCCTTACTCCTATTGACAAATATTATATTGCATCTTATCAGGATAGTCGTCCTACTAATGTTTGAACCTTATTCCTTGAATATTTGTTTGGGTTTTTCTTTTATACTTCTGATTTTATTTTATTTTTTTGTATAAATTATATATTATATTTAACTATTATAATTTATTGAGTTTTATTATAATATCAAATATTATTATTAATAATAAAAAGTATTACCATAAACAATTGACCGATCTGGCCTATTCCCACTCTTAGCATGACAATATTTCTTGAATACCCGTTTAGATAATATTATTTTAAACATTTATTTGAAAAAATAATAATAATAAAATAATAAATAAATAAATAAAAGTTATAACCAAATGCTACATAAGGTATAACCAAAGATTTTACAAGTCAGAACTAAAATAATGTCATAACTAGAGATACATATGATCTCATAAATCATAACTAAAATAATCCTTTTAAAGGGTGTGTATTGTAGAATTTTCTGACTTAAAAACACATTAAATTCCACCTAGAATATTGAAATTAGAAACTTATAGAATCTCTTAAATAAGAGTATATTTTTTGGTGTCTAGGCTTGATGGTAATGTTTGAGTTTGAATCCCATTTATCTCATAAATCATAACTAAAATAATCCTTTTAAAGGGTGTGTATTGTAGAATTTTCTAACTTAAAAACACATTAAATTCCACCTAGAATATTGAAATTAGAAACTTATAGAATCTCTTAAATAAGAGTATATTTTTTGGTGTCTAGGCTTGATGGTAATGTTTGAGTTTGAATCCCATTTACTATTAGATTTTATAATAGAAATATTAGAAAATCACAATTTAAATATTATAATTCATCCAAAATGATGTGGCAAGAAAATTATGTCTTATATGACTAGATTTGTGAAAAATTCAAAATTGACACTTAATAGATCATTCCATTATTGTTGATCAAATTGAAAGAACCTTTTTAAGAGTCTTAAAAGTTTTTTATAGCCTAAACGTTAGAACTTCAGAAATTTTCAAGCTACTGCGTGTATCACAACTCAGTTGGCATTTTCCATTGATACAATATATGGCTTTGTCTACTATTGAATTTTAATTGTCCAATTTGATATAATATTTCTCATATTATAATTAATCTTATATCGATTTAAAAATAAAAAATAAAAATCACACAAGCATGCTGGCATAAGTTTTTTGCTACGTTAATTAACCTGTCAACATAAATTTGAACTAGTTTGGAAAGTCAAATTATTATATACAGTTAGATGGACCAATGTTTCTATGTAATCCGTATTTTTAACATTTAAAATAAAAAATTTAGATTAATGCTTTGGGGCTTAATCTACATTTTACTACATATAGATTATGGTTAGGGGGCTAGGAGCACATTGGTTTTGTTTAGTGGCAAATCTAAAAGTAAACCAGTCCCTAAAACTTCATTTGGAATACTTGGTGACAGAAAACATGATTAACTAAATTTGACGTGGAAATCAAATAATAGAAATAATTGATATTTCTCTTCATTTATAGAAGGAAGGGAGAAAGAGTTTTAAAAATCAAATTTTTGTCTCCAAAATAAAGGGAGAAACATTTAGGGACTAATTTTTGTCAAAAAGTCAAAAAACAGACTTTCGTATCAAAATTTTAAAAGTATGGTTAATAAATACACTTCAAGAGAAAACAATTTGGTGGATAAGATGTTCACTTTTTTAGACAAATTTTGGTCAAAAAATGATAATAATTTATCCCTAAATATCTAATTTCATTGCCAAATATACAACGACACTTTTGACAACTTAAATATTTTGTTCTTAAAAATTAATTTTATTCATAATTTTTTATTTTTAAAATCTTAATTTGCTGTAATGATTTCATGCTTACCACTGTGTGACCAACCATTTGGTGATTTTTTTTAGGGATTAACAATTTTGATTTTTATTGAAAAGACCCTAGCACTGTTTGATTGTATTCCTAATGCATAAAGCATTTTATAATAACTAGATATAATGAATTAAAGCAAATGAAAAGGGTATAGATAAAGCATACCTTTTCATTAAACAAAAATTGTGCCTGGGTAGAAGAATTTCCTTCAGATGTTGACATCTTCTCCACTTTGGGGTAGAAGCTTATGAGCTTGGGTAGATTCTCGAGATGCAAATATTCCAACTGACTGAAATTAATTACTGGACTTGAGAGTTCATCTTCATCTTTTTCTTCTTCAATTCCAACTATTGCTTCCATCATCTCACAATCAAGTATTCGTAGCCTCTGGAGTTGTGGAAATCCTCTTGCACAGGACAGGGAGAAGAGATATTTCAACCTACAATCTCGAACTGTTAATCCAAATGTAGCTCTTCAGCTCTCAGCAACAAAATGAAAAACTTGTCCATTAAGGAAACACCCACAAGGTCACACCACTTTGAAGAAGTTCCATAAAAATCATAATTCTTACCCATACCCATTGATATTTGAAATCTGATCAAGTTTTCAAAGCAGAAGTCCTTGGGCAATAGCATGACATTTGGTATGTGAATCTGTAAAGTGGTTAATTGCGTCAATTTCCCCAACTCATCAAGATTCACTTTGCTTCTTTCCGTGTACAATTCTTCCAGGCGAGACAAATTGGATATGACACCTTGTGGAATCTCTGTGAGCTGGTGACAATCTTCCAGATCTAACAACCGAAGATGAGTCAATTGTCCTATCTCTGATGACAAAACCTTGATATTAGAACCTCGAAGGCTAAGTATTTCAAGGTTATTATTTAGATCCTTGAGTATAGCTACGTCTCCCAACTCACAATAATCTAACCATAACATCCGAAGGTTAACCAAATTAGCAAGAGATAATGGAGGCAACATACAAATTCTATTCAATTCTAAAATTGTAAGTTTCTCCATTCCACTGAAAAATCTATCTGGAACATTAAGCAAAGGATCGATCTTCCATGTCAATATCATGGTCAAGGTGTGGAGTTGTGGACATACCAAATCATCCGGAAGCTCAAGAGTGTTGTCGAACCTTAATGACATTGCTGAGTAAGATTCGCATGTATCTTTCTCGGGCCACACTTTGACACCATGTTTTGCTAGAATTTCCTTTCCATCATCTTTCGCAATTGAAAGAGCAACATCTCGAATGACATCATGCATTTTGACAAAGTTTTCACTTGTGCCTTCTAATAACAAACAAGCATCTTTGAGGATATCGACCACTGTAAGTACTCGACGGCTTGCTCTTCTTAGTGTATTTGTGTTTTGTCCAAGCAAACTTCTCGCTATGCAGTGTCTCGCCAACACTTCAATTGAAATATTAGCATCTTCAGGAAAGAAACAACATAGCAAGAAGCATGATTTTGCATCACTAGATTCTAACCAATCATATAGCTTAACTTTAAGGAAGCATACACCTTTGGGTCGATTCCCGCAATATTCTTTAGCATGGAATCTTTCAATTGATCAAGTACATCTTCCCAAACATATTTTTTCTTACCTTTCAATGCGGCTCCAACTGCAAGTATAGCGACGGGCAAGCCTCCACACTCTTTACAAACTACATTAGCTATATCATGGAGTTCAGGAGAGCCAACAGAATTACCCACCTTCGTCTTGAATAGGGCCCATGCTTCTTTCTCTAATAATACTTGCATTGGAACATATCTATCAACACGCATCATTTCCAACACACCTCGGATTCGAGACGTTATCACAACTTTGCAACAATTGTTTCCATCAGTGATAGGAATCCCTATTGTCTTCAAGTTCAATTCTTGCCACATATCATCCAATATAATGAGATTTTTCTTCCCATTGTTCAATCTATTCCACAATTTGCTTGCTTTTCCCATTTCAGTTTCCCCTTTTAGTTCCAAATTCAAGCGATCAGCGAGTTGCCCTTGAATATTGCGCACATTTGCGTCCTGAGAGACAACTGCCACAACGACTTCATCAAAAAGTCCATTTTTCACTAGTTTGCCAATCTCTTCGACCATTGTCGTCTTTCCAACCCCTCCTGTTCCATATACTCCAATCATTTTAACATTGGAATCTTGTAATGCCGCCATGATGTTATTGAAAACCAATTCTCGCGACTCAAAATTAACATAGTTTGTACTTGACGATGTGAATTGAAGTTCTTGAGCAAATGGCATAGGAAGTGAAACTGTGCTAAAATTGCCACTCTGAGTGAACCTTTTTACTTCTTTGATCTTGTTTTCGGCTTCCTTGCTCATTCTGTAACGCGAGATGTAGTCCGGACATAAGAATACAAAGCACTACATGTTTTCGTTAACAGTATTTTCATCCTTAAATTTCGGAACTCTTTCTTCCGCCTCCGCTAGCCAGTTTGAAACAGGTTCATCAACTTTTTCACCACGAGTAATGGCTTCATCAACTTTTACGTTGATTTGTTCTATCAGCTCTTCAAGGTTTTTAATTTCAACTTGCAGATTCTTCTGCTTCTCCTTGTACTGAAAAACAAAACCAACGCAGAGCATCACTGGCTCAAATAATCTCCCTGCAATTGCCCCTACAATTGAAAATGCACCTTGCAGGGCACTCATTTTCAATCTACCTTTTCTCTTTTTTTTTCTTTTTTTTTTGAAACAAATATTCAAGAAGAAACTAGTTTGAGATTCGAATTTCAAAGGATAAAGCTCTCTCAATCTGTATCTGCAGGTAAAACAAAAAGAGAGATATCAAAGGAGAGAAACAAAAAGTGAAGATAAAGTTCTCTCTTTTGCTGATTAGGAAAATAAAAAACGAAAAAAAAATAACATTAACTAAGTAAAACGAGTTAATTACCTAATAATCATATTTATAAATGTTATGATAGCTCAGGTCCTATCTAAGATTTTTTAAACCAATAAGTCCTATTTAGTAAAATTGAGAATATTATCATTTTTTCCTAATTTATAAAACTAAGAACATTATTAATTTTGCATAGTAATGTTTCAGATAATTGTTTCACTAACTGATGAAAAAAAAAAGTATGGGATTAAACGTTTTTTTCCCTCTACTTATTGGTTTGATTCAACTATTTAATAAAATCGAGAATATTATCATTTTTTTCCAATTTTAAAACTAAGAATATTATCAATTTTTTTTCCACATCAATGTTCCATTATCATACTCCTTTATAAATACAAAATTTTCAATTTTGTATAAAAAAATAATTCAATTTTTTTAATTTTTTCAAAAAAAAATTAGTTATTTATTTATTTTTTCCAATTTGAAAGTTGATATTTTAAAGTTTTAAAAATCAAAATAAATGTCAAATCATCATATTCCTTTATAGATAATCATAAATAATGAATAATCATTGTTTGAAGAATAATTCCGACTATTAAAAATTTAATGGAACTTGATAGTCCAAAAAATCTTACTTAAGACTTAATAGAATATAAATTCATAAATTAGGACTTGTGTGTAAATGTCCCAAGTAGAAAAAGAAAACGGATAGGGTTATTGTTATACTTAATCTATTTTGATGATTCGAATTATTCATATTGTAGGGTATATGAAACATATTATTCATAAATAATAATAATAATAATAAATTAGGTTAATCGGATATCTATAGTCCCATAATCAAGTCTTAAATATTTTTTAAAAAAAATTATCAAAAAATCATACTAACCATTTATTTTTTTAAAAAAACAAATGGTGTTGTGAGGTTATAAATGTCTAATTAACTTTTTTTTTATAGATAATTTACTCAACAAACATTAAAATATAGGTAGAATAATTCATTCAAATTTCAACCAGCTTATTTTATTTATTTATTTATTTTTCATTCCTATCTCTAATCAAATTCATGATTTAAACAATGAAAAATCTAAAAATCTCCTAGATGTTGATTTGTGATTATGTATCAATTTTAAGCAGTATATAACAATACCAATCAAACAATCAAGATAAATCGACACAATAATTTTACGAGGAAAAACCACAATTGGACACCTTCAATTGTGATAAACAAACCACGGGCAACAGTCACAAAACAATCCACTAAGAAGAGATAAAGGAATTACACAGGTATACTCTCAATTACCTAGCGAATCCACGCTCGAATTGAACCAACCTCTATGTGTCTCTTCCAACCCCGTCTTCACCTCGGAATTGTCTTGACGATGAGCCACTCCAGAATCCACCAAAGCTTCAGGCTCGAATTCTTCAGAATCCACCAAAGAACAACTCTCTCTTTTATGTAGAACAAACAAATAATCCTTTGATGTATACTCTTTAAACCATGAGTTGAATACTCATTCAAAACATGAAAGAAAACTAGCAAAATATCCCCAGATATAAACCTTAATATCCAAAAAGAAGATCTGGAGAAGTAATCCTAGATTTGGTGCAACTTGCGAATTTATAGAATCTGAAATCGCGAGGTCCGCCCAAGCGTGGGAATTGACGCTCGAGCGGGGACACTATATGTAGTGTTCCGCACTAGAGTGTACGCTCGAGCAAGGAAATGGACACTCGAGCAGGGACACCATATGACGTGTTCCAAACCAGGATGTACGCTCGAGCGGGAATTTCGACGCTCGAGTGTGAAAACACGGATCACAGTATTTTTGCAGACTCACCAAACTTCTGGAACTTAGGATTCTCCGCTCGAACGGGGAAACGGACGCTCGAGCTGACATGCAACTTTGAATGCATTTTTGCATTTTGCTTCGGCCGCGAGCTGACCGGGTAGCTCGACCCCCGTCATAATCAGCGACGTGGCAATCTTGAAAGTATTAACATCACAAACTTCTCTGCAAGGCATAATTTGGGTTGGATTCACATCTAATAAACTCATAGCCTCATTGAAATAACAGTGCAAAAACAAATACAACTGAAAGGAGTTTTGTCAAACGGGATTGCCAAGAATAAAAACCTAACAAACAGTTTTAAAATATAGATGAATAATACCAATGTCCTATTTGGCAAAACTTCTCCAAATATTTTTTTCTATGACCAAACCAAATCAAGCCAAGTCTTAAATCCTATCAAATAGAGTCAGTTATATATATACACACACACACACATATATATATATTAATTATTTTTGGTTTGTTTAAACAGAAACAAAAGCCAAATCACTTTGTTTGTTTTTCAAAATCTATTTTCTGCATTTTATTGAAACGAAATATAAACTATTTTGATTGAAATAAATACCAAAAAATATTTGCCTCAAAAAAAAAAAAGAAAGAAAGAAAGAAAGAAAAACATAGCTATAGTGATCCAGGTTTTCCCTCCATTATTTATTGTATTCCGGACTTAGGTTCCGTGTGGTCGGTTTTGTTTATATCTGGTTTCCGTCCTTTAAATTCCTTATATTCGAATTTTGGGATGTATTGGGCTGGTTTGTTACAGGTTGGTAGTGAGTTTAAACCAATGGTTGCTGCCCAGATTTTGGTGTCTTCGCTCGAGCGAGGCTTTTGTCGCTTGAGCGAGCTCTGTGTTTTAGTCCCTTCGCTCGAGCCAGGATTCCTTCGCTTGAGCGAGAGTTGAGTGGTGTGTTTGGTGGCTCGAGCGAGAAGTCTTGCGCTTGAGCTTGCGTATGCGTCTAGTTTTGGACCTAAAGGTTGTATTTCTTGGCTTGAGCGAGCTTTCCTTCGCTCGAGCGAGCGAGGACTATGTTTTGAGCTTTCCTTCGCTCGAGCGTGCTTCTGGGTTGCAAACCTGAAGCTTCGTATTGTTGGCTCGAGCGAGGCTTTCTGCGCTCGAGCGAGGTTGCTTTGTGTCTGGTCGCTCGAGCGACCATTCCTTCGCTCAAGCGAGCCTCGAATATATCAGTTGGCAGCAGCGGGTTACACTTCACTTTTTCATCACCTTCTTTACACAAACCCTAGATCCGGCTGCTCTTCTCTCTTTACATACCTTCTCTCTACAAATCCATCTAGTTCTAGTGGTCTCCTACCCTAGTCTCTTTATAAAAAAGGTGGAGCTTGGTGTGGGCTACATTTTGATCCGAAAGTCTTTGGGTTTGGAGCATCTTGAGTTTTCGCCATCTTCTCCATTTGGTCTCTTCATTTGAGGTAGGGATAACCTACTATGAAAATCATGAAATTGAGTTGAAAATCATGAAATTGGGAAATTATGGGATTGAATGGTGTAGTTGAAGAAATTTATCACTCACCTATGAAAATGTTGATATTTTATCAGTATGATTAATTTATTATCTGTTTAGAAATAATTGCTTTGGGCTACCGGTAGAGGATAGTCTTGATTGTTGTAGACACTGTATGTTGATTAGGGAAAACTGAAACTAATCACTTGGAATATGTCATTGAATATGACGGTTGGAATAATACATTGAATATATGTATTGATTGATCATTGTATATGATTGAATATTTAAATACATTGTATATGTATTCTGTTTGGGAGGAGATAGGGGATGTACTCGATGGTTTGAGGGAAGATAGGGGATGTACTCTCAAACCTGTTTGGGAGGAGATAAGGGATGGACTCCATTGATAACTAAGTTGGCTGGAGTATCCAGGGTGAAAGTCCCGAAATTCTAATTACGTTTGCATAATGTAGATAATTAAATTATTGGAAGTGTTTTGATATGAGTTGTAGTCTCATTTAAATTGTGGATAATGGAAGTGTTTTGATATGAGTTGTAGTCTCATTTAACTATTTGACTAGACAATGAGCCATGTTTATGAATTGAAAATTGGATAAGTAAAGGAAAGTGGAATGAAACATGGACATATTGTCATGGAACTGGATTGTGTTGTAAGTTAGTTTACAAGTGTTAGCCATTTATCAAATGCTCATGTTTTAGTTATTTCTCATAATTGGTTTAGTATATCTCTACGGGGCATTGGCTCACCCTATATGGGATATCATTTTCAGGTTCAGGTGATATGCCACCTTTTTGTTGACTATCTTTTTGTATTACATGTAACTCAAGCCAAGGGCTTGTTTTGTAAAAGAGTTAGAACTCTTCTTTTGTTGTACCCAAGCGTTGACTTGGAAAGTTGTAAGCCCGTAGGACATTTAGTTTTGTTGTCAACATGTAATACTTTTGTACTTAATACTCTGATAAATGGAAATATGTTTTATTCTCTTATATCTATGGATGTCATGAATGTTGGGTTTATAAGTATATTTTTGAGGCCGTTACAACTTGGTATCAGAGCGTATCGGGTTTGAATACTTTGGGTACGTGGGAAGTGGCTAGTACCACAATGGGTTTATCTCGCTTGTTAGAGACTTATGTGTGCTGTTA